CTATCCTGGCCAAAGTGGAACCTCTCCTGCTAATACTCCTTCGTCTAAAGACAATCCAAATTCAAATATCATTTGGGCATATCTGAAAATAAACCTGGAACCCATAGGTTTGCTTTTGACAGCCAAAGATAAAGTTGTTTATGAACATAAATCCTGGGCATGGTAATATTCAGACTATATAATAATATTCAAAGCATAGAAAGTGATCTTAATCAACAAACAATGTTTCCCACTCTCAGTTTATCATTTTGCTCCCAGTCTCACTGAGAAGGCAGTAGAATAATATTCATCAAGCTCCTATCATTACAACCACTTGCCCATTGCAACTGTGACTGAGTTTCCTTTCATCTCTTCTGAGCCTGGGTGTCCTGATACAGTCCCTGTAAATCAGCCCCTGCACCTGTGCACATGGTTCCATCTCCTTCCAACTGAGGGCACTGTAACTCTTCTATAGCATTCACATATCCCCCCTCTTGAGTTTTCCCTTCAATATAACTACATACCTTTCACCTTGAGTAAAACCTCCTAGCTACCTTTCTGCATCTACCTGTGACCTCATTTGTCTCCTCCTCTTCACAGCAAAGCTCTTCAGGAACTGTTTATCCTTTATTTTAAGACAATAAAACTTTTTGAGAGCAATGTAATGTTTACAAAACAAATGGAACACATGCAATTATTTCTATTCAGGGGTTGGGAACCTTTCTATTGCCAATAGCTATTTGGATATTTATAACATTACTCATGGGGCATATAGAGTTATCAACTTAACAATTAGCATGCTATAGATTTATTGCATTTTGAGTTCTGCCTGAATTTGCTGTGACAGGGCCAGAACTAATACCACCCATAGGCCAGATCTTCCCCACTTCAGCTGAAATACACCATCTGCACTATCTTCCTTGCCTCCCCCACTTTTGTTATGAACTTCTTGCTTTGGTGTACTGAATTTGTTGTAGCTGATTAAACTATCATCAACAAAGGAAATTCATAATTAACATCAGGTTTGCTTTTTTAAAGATTATTTGTTTGAAAGGCATAGTTACAGAAAGAGAGATAGAAACAGAGATATTTTCCATAGCTGGTTCACTCTTCAAATGGCCTCATTAGCCAAGACTGGATTGGCCAAAGCCAGGAGCCAGGAGCTTTAGTCAGGTTTTCCACATGGAAAAAGGGGTCCAGAAACTTAAGACATCATCTGCTGCTGTCCCAGACACATGAGCTGGGAGGTGGATCAGGAGTAGAGCAGCCCAGGACATTACCACTGCCCATATAGGATGCTGGTATTCTAGGTGGTGGTTTAACCCATTAGGCCACAATGTTTTCTGCAGGTTCAGTTGGTTTGTATTAGGGTTTCATGGGTTTGACATATGCTTGTAACCATTGTGGTATCCTACTGATTTTTTTGCTCTAGAAATTTGTACATTACCTATTTATCCTTGTTTCTCTCTCTGGCCCCTGATCAGAGCTTGACAACCACCGATATTTTTACTCTATCTGTAGAGTTGCTTTTTCTGGAATGTCACCTGGTTGGCATCATGCAGTGGTAGGCTTCAAGACTGGCATGTCTTTACATTGTCTATTGCCTGGCTCAATAGAAATGTTCTGTAAATATTAAACAAATAAATTAAGAGCTCGCATTGTGTTGTGAAGCTGGCATTGTGCTGTAACAGATAAAGCCATTACCTGTGATGCTGGCATTCCATTTAGGAGCTGGTTGGTGTCTCCACTGTGTTACCTATAATCTTTCAAATCTCAAAAATGGCTTTGTTGTAAGGAGAGTTGGATCAGAAATGGAGGAGCTAGAACTCTTATCAGCACCCCATATCGGAAGCCAACATCACAACTACCTTTTTTTTTTTTTGCATTTTTTATTAGTATAAAGAGAATAAATTTTGTGCATTGTTAAAATATGTCTTGGGATAACCTTGATTGGGCTGAATTTGGCTTGTGAACTTGACCTTCCAATGTCTCTAGGCTTGGAATGCTTTCCATCACTATCTCTGAATTATTTTTTGTAAGATTCATTTGAAAGTGAGAATTATAGAGAGAGATGGAGAGAAAAAGAGAGGGAGAGCTTTCATATCCATTGATTCACTTTTAAATGGCTGCAATGGCTGGAGCTGGGCTGATCCTATGCCAGGAGCCAGGAGTCTCTTTTGGTCTCCCATATGGGTACAGGGTCCCAAGCACTTGGACTACCCTCCACTGTTTTCCTAAGCACATTACCAAAGAGCTGGATTGAAAGCAGAGCAAGTTAAGAGATTGGACTAATGCCCATATGGGATTCTGTCACAGCAGGCAGCAACTTTACTCATTATGTTATAGTACTGGCTGCTTAAGAGTGCTTTTAGTTGATCATTTTGTCATTCTCAAGTCCCTCTTGAATCCAAGTAATCTGAATAATTTCACTTTTTTTTTGCTGTCACATATTTGCCATGTGCTTTATTCATTCTTGTTAATGTTTTTTTGAGTGTGCATTTTCAAATAGCATAATCTTCGGACAATTTCTTTTTTGTGTTGGTTCCATGCTACTATTTGTGCTTTTCATCATATTTTTAATTTCACTTTATGTATTTTTTTAAAGATTTATTTATTTTTATTGGAAAGGCAGATATACAGAGAGGAGGAGAGACAGAGAGGAAGATCTTCCATCCAATGGTTCACTCCCCAAGCGGCCACAATAGCTGGAGCTGAGCCAATCCAAAGCCAGGAGCCAGGAGCTCTTCCAGGTCTCCCACATGGGTGCAGGGTCCCAAGGCTTTGGGCTATCCTTGACTGCTTTCCCAGGTCACAAGCAGGGAGCAGGATGGGAAGCGAGGCCACTGGGATTAGAACCGGTGCCCATATGGGATCCCAGCGTGTGCAAGGTGAGGACTTTAACCACTACACTACCGTGCCAGGCCCACTTCATGTATTTTTAAGTTGTAGAATTTTTGCCTCGTTTTGTTGAATAACATTTCTTTATGAAATCCATTAGCATATTTAATTATTTCTACATGTTAGGTTTCCTTAAAATAACTACTTTGAAATGTTCACCTCTGTGAACATTTGCTTGTAGATTCAGGTCATGGTTGCCCGGTGTTCCTGATGCTTGTTGCAGTATACCGTTTTAGGCACATTGAAGGGTTAGCTTTAGTGATCGAGAATCATTTGCAGCTGTTCTTCCAGAAACTTCTTCTGTTGGTGCAGTGGGCTCACTGTTGGTGATGCACCTGTCAGCCACTGATGATTCAGGCTGTGATAAAGGACTGCTCAACCAGGACCACAAACTCCACTGGACTCAAAAGCCGGTTAGAGGCCCTGTCTTGAGCTGCTGGTCTGGCTTCTCGAGCCGCTCCCATGAAGGTGATTGTGTGCAGTTGTTGATATCAGTGTCTGCAGGAATATGGTCGCTAGAGCTTCCCACTAGGCTGTCATTTGGCTCCATTTCTATTTTCTAAAAGAGACTTGTTTATTTTATTTGAAAGGAACAGTAACAGCCAGAAATTAATTCAGGCATTCTGATGTGGAACACAAACATCTTCACTGTTAAGACAAATGCCTGCTTTGTCTAGCACTGATTTAAAAAGGAAGGATATTTTAGAGACACAGAGAGAAAAGGATGGATGGAGGGAGCTCCCATCTGCTGACTCACTCCTTAGATGTGTGAAATGACTCCTGCTCAGGGTCAAACCTGCTGGTCATGCATTCAGCCCATCTCCCAGGCAGGTGGGAGGAAGTCAGCTGCTTCAGTTACCATCTTGTTGTATTGGAATCTGCATTTGCGGGACACTGGAGTTAGGAGCTGGGCTGGGCACTCCAAAATGAGACATGGGCATCTTCCCTGGCAGTTTCACTGCTAGATTAAATTCTTACCATTAAATGTGCAATCAGAAAGTTTGATGCATGAGCATTCTTTGATACATATGCAACTGTTCTTTAGGGACAAATTATCATAACCTTAAAGAATAACATTCCCACTGTGGGGTTTTGGGCAGTGGGGCCTAAAGATGGAAAGTTTCATACTCAAAGAAATAACTTGATATTTCCTGTATCCTCCAAGGAGATGACTTCTTCCTCTAGGCCACTCTAATGAATGCTGCTTTATTATGGACATGGCTGTTCACTTTAAATAGCAAAGACACACTCCACAGTACATGTTGCAACTCTGTGAAAAGCAGTTCAATATTTTAACAACTCCCTCTGCAAATAGATGGTACTGTCCAATCCCCTATCTCCTGTGTGGCACTGCCTTCTAAGAGTTCTTATACAAAGGCAGAAGAAAGTATATCATCATACTCCATGCTTCTGGTTCTTACAAAAGAGCTCGGCCATTTCAGTGAGCTTGCAAGCATCAGAGGAAAAGGTGCTTACACTCTTGTGTGGCTAATCGGTAGGTTACAAACTGAATCTCACAGGAATGATTTTAAGAATTGGTTGTGGTTTTTGTTTTTTTATGTAGCACAAAAATACATTAACTATTTTTTAATAATTATATAAAGCAAAAGAAATGATGCATAATAAAGAAAAAGTACAGATAACTTGGAAATCTAACAGTAGATAGCTCTAATAAGAAGGCATCAGAACTGTCTTCCTGGAGACAGAGTTGAGAAAAAAGACTGGCAATGATTTAGTTACTTACAGTGATACACATAAATATAATTTTATTAAAGTATATGACTGTATATATAAAGATATAAAATTATTCTCATTAAAAATTATTGTTAGGATAGAAAAAATATTCAGATGCTTGCAGCTGAAAATTTTCAAAGCAACTTACATCATTCTTGTGAAAAGAATTTAAAAAGATGTAATTTATTGATTTCAAGTAGAATTTACAAATGGAAATTTGTTAATTTTATAAGCAAAGAAAATAAAAATGAGTAAAATGACAAGATTTATTAATTCTAACAAATATTTTCGTTATCTAAAAGTATTAAAAACTACAAGGATTCAATTACTTTGGTAATAGTCTTTTTAAAAATTCCTCAAGTTAGACTACAATTGCGTTATTATACAATATGATTACCCCTATTCATGAAATAAAGTAAGCTGACTATTCCTGAACAGCATTCTTAAATATGGAGTTGTGAAAGCCAGCTAAGTCACACTGCAAATGCGCTTTGAGTTTTTAAACAGATCACCAAACTTAACTCTCCCAGGAGGCCATATCTAGGAGAAAGTATTGGGATAGGATGAAGATCAGCAAAAATTTAGTCATATTCAAACCCTGGGCAAAAGTTTAATTTTTAAGAATCCTGAAGATTTTTTTTAGACAATTTTGAAGATAGTTATCAAATAAAAACATGAGTCAAATTATGTGAGAAATTTTGCTGAAGGTAACACAAAATTAGTGAGAAAATAGTGAGAAAGGTTATAATTAGAGTGAGTTAAGGATGGAATGATAGAATATATGTTAGATATTTTATTTAATAATATATTAATATATTATATATTATAATTTGCAGAGTTTAATTCATTTTTAGGACTTCTTCTTGTCAAAGCAATAATATAAAAATGAGTCAGAAGGCTGTTTTTCTTTCACTGATTTTCTACTTCTAACAGACTGTAAAATTCGCCATCAAGGCACTTGCTCTGGATCTTTCCTAAAGGTAGCATGTGGATTTAACTGAAAATTTCTGATAGTTATCTATAAAAGAAGCTAAAGTTGCATTTGATAGTTATTTAATTTTTATTGTAAGTCAGGTAAAACTTATTTTTTGACCTATAAACCATGACAGGCATTTTAGCTGAAAATGGCACTCAGCTGACATCAGCTAATCCAGAGAAAATAGCATAAATATTAATAAACATTGTTTCCTGAATTGGTAACTGATAGAAGAGTTAATTCTATATGTGTACTGACCTTCTATGGTTAGTAGTTTCAGATTTTTATAATGTGAGTTTCCTGTGATCAACTTACTTGAAAGCATTATACAGCGAGAGGGAGAGGCAAAGGAGGGAAAGGAGGGAGGGCGAGAGAGAGAGAGAGAGAGAGAGAGAGAGAGAGCCATTTTCCTTTTGCTGGTTCATTCCCCATATGGCTATAATGGCTAGGTCTAGGCCAGGTTAAAGCCAGATACCAAGAACTTCTTCCCAATCTCCAGTGTGGGTGGCGGGGGTTCAAGCACTTTGCCATCTCTCACTGCTTTCCCCAGATAATCAGTAGGGAGTGGGATCAGGAGTGGAGCAGCCAGGATATAAACCAGGGGTCTTCTAGGATGCTGGTGTTGACTGCAGTGGTTTTGCCTGCATACTTATCTTTCTATTATTTTTATACAGTTCTTGGGAGATCATATGTAGTGAGTAGAGAGAAAATGAAAGCTAAATAATTCTTTCACAGATTCTGTTTCCATTTGCTAATTATCTGTATCAATGAAAATGACTTCATTAATTTCTATTCATATTAATAAAACTATAACATAAATGTTAGTATATTGACATTTAGCATTTGTTGAGGTATGTCCACCATGTTTCTTTGACAACATATTTAAGTTTTAATCCCTTCAGAATGCTTGGTTATAAGAAACAAAAATCAAATTTTCAAAGATAGATAAGTTGCATCACAAAATTAGATGCAATGATATTATCTCTTAATAATTAAAACCACTATACATACATGAAATATTCAAATGTGCAAATTGAGGATTCTCAAATAATCTAATATACAATAGGAGCCATATAGTTTTACATACAATGATATCTTTCCAAATACCTAAAAACAGTAATGATCTTGATGATATTCAAATTATGTCTAAATACCAGAACTGTTAAGCTATATTAATTATTGAATTAACTTTAATCCAGAATATATTCTAATAATTTGGAAAATTTTTTAGGTACCTTGGCTAAAACTTCCATGGTCGAAGGCTTAAATTAGCTATTGGGACGAATAAACAAAACCTACTTGCAAAACCAGCTGTCACTTGCTAGAACTTATTTTCATTTGCGTAGTATTACATTTTCTACTATTTGGCAGAGGCATTTATAACATATAACATATGGAGAGTAAAGGTTATCAAACAGGAAGCACTGTAAATGTAATTTTAAAAATGATTCTGAGTCTTTATGTTTCTTTTTAATAGTTTAAAATAATGAGCAATGTTTGCATAGCATAAACACAAAGAAAGGAGTCTATTTTAAAAAGCCTTTTTAGGAGAATGTAAACTTTGAGAATATTTCACTTTTAAAAAGAAGGTCATCTGGTCATTTACAGAATTAAGTAATTAGAAAGCAGGCGATTTGTCACTCACACAGGGCACTGTATGAATCTCCTGAAATTAGTGAGGTGTCAAATGAATCCAGTGGTCACTAACAGTTGACTCAATACTGTATAATGCTTTTGTATAGGAAAAGCCTTTGAAATTTCAATTGTTATTTTAACTCATGTGCTGTATTCAGGGGAACACACACACTTTTTAAAGCTTGCTGTGTAAATATGCATGCTGTGTCTTCTTAGGCAGTATATTTTTAATTGCATTCTAGGTAACTATGCTCTGTTAAATAATTCTTCATATGAAGTTATACAAATATCAAATTTCTCCAGCTCTGTAATTTTGTTTCTTTTAATATAGAGTTTGCACATCGGTGGAGATGCAAAACTGTTCCAGAGTGTCTGAATTTGTGTTGCTTGGGCTTACTGATTCCCATGAGCTCCAGCTATTCTTCTTTGTGGTGTTTTCCCTTTTCTATGTAATAACCATGATAGGCAACTGCCTGATTTTGCTCACTGTCCTGTGCACCTCACAGCTCCATGCTCCCATGTACTTCCTGCTCAGCAACTTGTCTCTCATTGACATGTGTCTGTCCTCCTTTGCCACACCAAAGATGATCCTGGACTTCTTTGCTGAGAGTAAGACCATCTCCTTTCAGGGCTGCATTTCACAGATCTTTTTCTTGCACCTCTTCACTGGGACTGAGATTGTACTGCTGATTTCCATGTCTTTTGACAGGTATATAGCCATCTGCAAACCTCTCCATTATCCAAATATTATGAGCCAAAAAGTGTGTGTTGGGCTTGTGCTAACCTCTTGGGCTGTGGGTTTCCTGCATACAATGAGTCAGTTGGTTTTTACTCTCTATTTGCCCTTCTGTGGTCCCAATGTTATAGACAGTTTCTTCTGTGATCTTCCTTTGGTTATCCAGCTGGCTTGCATAGATACGTATGTTCTTGGGATCTTTATGATCTCTTCCAGTGGTGCGATTGCTCTCGTGAGTTTTCTGCTTTTGCTCACTTCTTACATCATTGTTCTCGTCACTATCAACGATCACTCCTCCTCGGGGTCATCCAAAGCGTTTTCTACCTGTACTGCACATTTCATGGTTGTGTTGCTATTCTTTGGTCCTTGCATCTTCATTTACGTGTGGCCTTTCGCAAGCTTCCTGGTGGACAAAATTCTCTCTGTTTTCTATACTATCTTCACTCCCCTTTTGAATCCACTTATTTACACTTTGAGAAATCAAGAGGTGAAGAGGGCAATGAAGAAAAAACTAAGTAACCGGTATTTCAATATTGGGAAAACTACTCCAAGATATTCAGTGCAATGAATGGTTGTACCCTATTGGAGATGTGCTGTGATCAGTTTGCTTTAAAATCTGCTTGTTAAGTCAGTGAGCCTAGACTTAGGAAAATAAGAAGCTAGGACCAGAAGTGGGTACCATTTTGATAAAAGTTAGTACAGTGTTTTGCAACCCATTTGAGAGTACAGACCCATCTGGTAATTCATTGAAACTTAAAGGCGATTTGTACAAGAGACTGAACATATCATCAGAATTGTGAACATGAATTTAGGGATTTGTAGGACTGAATTCTATAAACATATCACAGATTCACATTATTTAAGAAACCTGAGCTGAGTGAAGTTTCTCTTATTAGAAATAAAGGTTAAGACTGAAGTTGATTTTTGCCTCAGTTTTATTATTAAATAAAATTTATTGTTGTTTTCAAACGTAAGCCCCTGATCCTGAGCGTAGTCATTATTTGTTGAATGTCTAATCTACTTCATGCTTTCGCTGGACGTTGGCGATCCATCAAAGTTCAAGATTTATTGGTGGAGGGACATGGGTCCAACACTTAGGTAGGGCCAGTCTCTAGTGGGCCTGCTTTCCGGTCCCTAAATTTTCCTGTTGTGCAAACATGAATAATCACATTAAGGTTATTAAGCAAGTTTCTTCATTTATAAAATATTTAGTGTTCGATAATATTTCAAAAATGAAACAAAAGCATCAGTAACTTATTTAACAATGCTTGCTATTAGTTAATATTAACTAGTAATTTGTTACTGAGAGTTATATGTTGATGCTTTAGAAAGGGAAACAAAAGAGCTTACTGGAACCTAAACAGCATGATTTTACACCATAATAGAGTATGACAATTTACTTACTGTTAAGTAATGTTGAAATACTGTACCTGTGCCAATTGTTAATGCATTTATGTGCTTTGTGTGCCTGTATTTTTTTTTTAAAGAAATACTATATTTTTGGGGATTTTAAAATGTTATGTTAAAATGTATTTCCAGATTGCATGGAGGAGGAGAATAATAAATAAAATATGTTCAATAGGTTAGCATCTTGCCTTACTATAGTAATGTCTTCAAATGAAATAAACATGATTGTGAAGTTTAAACTAGTTTCACGTGGTTTTTTTTTTGGATTTTTCTATTCAATAATAGTAGTGAAGTGTTTTAATTTTTTATATAATGTAATTTACTGGAAATATTGACTGGAAATATGAATGGCAGTTACTTTTCAGCTACTCAGTTTAAATGAAGTATATTAATAAACATTTCTTCTATAGGCGGAATGATCTTGTGTGGATTCTTGAAAATATGAATAAATTGTCTTTTTGGAGACATTGTATAACGTGCTTTTCAGGAAGATATCAAAATTAGAATCAGAACGTTATAGCATCAAATTAGATTTTTTTATCTAGCACATTTCTGAAAATAGAAAATAAATGTTTAATTTTCACGGGAATTCCTGATAGTAGAGTCTACTTGTGAGAAATTGGCTAAGCATTGAAGTGCACCCTCGGAGTATCACGCAGAGGCTGGTCATGACTTCTGCACCGATTCCATAACACAGCAGCCCCTTCTCAACATGTCCCCTGTGTAAACGCCTGAAGCTAGCTTTCGTGTTTGCACCATCCTTGAGTGCTCATCCATCTTTTATGATTTTACCTATTTGTGACTGTATGGTTTGTGTAGAACACCAGTCATCAAAGAAGCGAGACTGGAGAGAGGTAGAGAGAGGAAAAAATGAATGAAGTAGAAATAACACGTTCATAATTGAATTCCACCTTATTCTCATTTATCACTTGATACAATCTATCAAAGAGTTCTGCTTATTCTAAGATATATATTGACTTGATCTATTTCCTAGTAGTATAGTACCACTCAGTGCTAGCTACAGAACAATACTTAGGTAGCTGTTTAGTCCATGCTATCATAAAAGCTTGTTCATCTATCTTCACACCTTTTCCTTAACTATTTCTCACAAAAAAATTCATTTTCACACATCAGTAACAAACCTTTTTCAAACATAAATGTGGACATGAGAAGGAGGGGGCATGAATTAAGTTCTTAACCTGTGAATTACTGACTATCAAGAAGTCTCTAAGAAACCAGGAGTTGTATGAATTTAGATGGTACAAACGCATTTATTATTTCATAATCTCTAATCGAAGTGCGGCATTTCTTATGACTGCATGAAGTATCATTGGAACTAACAATTACGTCATCATAGATGTTTTTATATTGTGAAAAGTTGTTGCAGAAATATGAAAGCACCGTTAATGATTACCACTATCTTAAAATGATCTCATTCAATGCATTCATAAAACATACATATATCACTCTATCACAATTTAAGAATATTCAAATAACTATACTTCAGGGCTTTAATTTTTGTGCTTCTGCATATTTTATTCTTTTATTTGAGATATTATTCTGGGGAGTAGATTTTAGACTTCACTAAATTTCCAAAGAGACATATGATCCACTTGTGTGTGTTTGGGACAACTAAAACTTTTTGGAGCAGTGACTGAAGTCATCTTTGACAAGAGAGTGCTTGTGGAAGTAACGGGGAAGCGTGGATAACCGGGGGCTGACTCCAAGCAGTTGCTTAAAGCATTACCTGATTTCTACTGTGAGACCTTTCAGCAGGCTTCTCAGGTGGTCTGATGAAAAGTGGTATTTTAATTATTTTTCCCTATTTGGAGCTACAGACTAAAAGTCATCTTGGCTTTTTCTCCTTGTCTCTTTCCCTACCCCATCTACAACGGAATGTATTTGCTTAAGCTGTATCCATTCGCAGCTATAGTCCAACAACTGTTAGAATTAAGACTGCTTTTTCACCTCATATATTCTTTTTTTCTTCCCCCTCTTTTTAAAAAAAAGATTTATTTTGGATATTTACACAGTCAGAAGGATGCCCATGTGGACCACTGATTAGGGTGGGAAGGGCCGAGGATTAGAAAGAAGTAGATGAGACTGTTGTTTCCAATTTTTCTTCTTCCTGTGTTTGGGGGAAAGAGTGGGGGATAGAAGTGGAGAAGCTGCACCCAGCATACTAATCGCATCAGTACCTGGGGCTGGGGAGTGCCAGCCCAATGTCTTCTCCCTGATGTGGGGCATGCTCTGAGCGTTCTGATAGTTCTGAAATGCTGTCGATCTCATCAATCCAAGGATGAGGAAATCCTTCCAAGGTCCATTGGCTGACATAGTCCACCTTAGATTCTCCATTTCTGCAGATACTCGCTGTCAACACTTGGCTGGGAGAATTGTCCAATTTTTTCTGTCTTCCATCCTCTGCTGCAGTAGTAGATGTCCTCTGTAGGCCCTAATGGATTGCCATATCCCCTACGTGCCTCTGGGCATGCCATCTACTGCTCTGTCTTAGCCACTGAAAAAGCCCAGTTCTGACACATGCACTCCATGGTCAGACCACAAATCCTGCATATATCCCCATGATTGGAGCTCTGAGTCCAGCAGTTTTGGTGGATGGTTGAGGATCCCCAAAGAAACTTCATCTGAGGCGATCCCAGACTTGACTCTTGTGTGTGCTAGCCAGTCAGTACAGAGTCCAACTCAGTCTATCAACAACATCAGCCTACACATTCACTGGTATTTGTAATTGCTGGGTAGTTCTGGCTCCAGCCCCATCTCTTACATAAACCAGTGAATGCTACAGCCCAGCCTAATCCTATCCACCACGCATTCAGCTCCTCATATACACAGCTGGGAACTGCAGTACAGCTGAAACGGCCCCCAATAACTACCACCAGGCCTGCCCCAGCCTTGCTTCCTGTGCATGTTGGCATATGCAGTAGACTGGTCCAGTCAGACCCACATCCCATTCAGATTTTGTATGCACCAATGGGTGCTGCAGTTTAGCCAAACTCAACTGACCGTACTATCCAGCTCATTTGTGTGCTGGCGGGTGCTACCGCCTTTCTAGCCAGGTCCACCCCTGGTTCTCATGCGCACCAGTGGGAGCTATCACCTATCTGAGAGGTACCCACAGTTTTCCTAAGAGGTCCACTTGCAGCCCCAGATCTTTCCAAGTTTTTCTTCAGTCTAGCTTGACAAGACTTGCTTCCATTCCTAGCTCTTGCCAGCTGATGCTGTGGCAAAGCCCGACCATCCTGCACTTACTCTGGTTCATGCATACACTGTTGGATACAGTCATTTATCCCAACCTAGCTCTTTCCAAAAACCAGCTCACATATAGACTAACAGATCTTGTAGCTCTGCCTATCCTGGTCTGCCCTGGCCCCAGTTCTCACTCATCAGTGGAAGGAGTGGCCCAGTGGAGGATCCTTGCTGCCCCCACTACCTTCCTTCCCAGCCAGCCCCCACTGAGGTCTTAAGTGTGCTGGTGGGTGCTATGGCCCAGTCAAGCATGGCCCACCTCACCTCAGCATTTCCTGGTGAGTGCTGTAGCCTGTCCCCAATTCTAGCTTATGCAGGCAGGTGCTGCAGCCTAGCTCAGTCCAGCCGGCTCCAGGCTTGGAACTAGCACTACTGTGAACTGGCTGGTGTTGTGGCCCTGCCTGGTCTGCCAGCATGTGTCATGACCTGGCCCAGCCTGGCCTACCCCAAGACCTACCCACATGTATGCAGGCAGATACAGTAACCTGTTCTGGTGGCTGCACACCCCAGTGTGAACACCCCCATTCCACCAAGCCCTCTGCAAGTCCACATCCCCAAACCCCCACAAGCCCTGCCGCACCATGGTGGAAGCTAGACAGCTGCACCACAGTGGAAACCTACTTCATATATTCGCCTTTCCTCCCATCACCTTGCACGTTGAAGCTATTTTCTAGAATCTTTCTTCCTCTTGTGCCCTCAAATATGCTCGTTTTCCACCTGCTCGTTATAGCCATGTTTTTTTCCTCTTCATATTGACTCAATTTTTCTGAAGATTCTTCCTGATCATTCATTCCTATGATCATTCCAAGAATTTATAAAAACAATTCACTTCAAAATAATTTAATCAGAATGTGAAAGACCTCTACAGTGAAAACTACAAAACACCAAAGAGATAAATAGAATGAACTACACAAAAATGGAAAATCCTTGTATGTTTTTGAATTGACAGCACCATGGAGACGAAGATTCACTATTTTATTTATTTTATTTTATTTTATTTTATTTTGTTTTATTTTATTTAAATGTATCTTTATTGGGAAGGCAGATTTACAGAGAGGAGGAGAGATAGAGAGGAAAATACTCTGTCTGATGTTTTACTCCCCAAGCGGCCGCAAAGGCTCAAGCTGAGACAATTGAAATCAGTAGCCAGGAACTTCTACCACGTCTCCCACACAGGTGCAGGGTCCCAAAGCTTTGGACTGTCTTCGACTGCTTTCCCAGGCCACAAGCAGGGAGCTGGAAGGGAAGCGGAACAGCTGGGACACGAACCAGAGCCCGTATGGGATCCCACCACATTTGCAACATGAGGATGTTAGCCACTAGGCTATCGCACTAGGCCCAGAATCCAGGAACTTTTATGTCACGGCTTGTTTCAATGAATCAGTGATTGAAGTTAATTCAAGCTGAAACAATTTTGTTTTGCCTGCACGTACATTTATTTTTCAGTAATGTCACATATTTTTATATCTGCATAATCACTCCTGTTTCACTTGCTAGATTCCAGATTAACTTGTGAAATAGCTGAAGTTCAATGAAGGTAAATGGTGCACATAAAAAAATTATGGAAGACCGTGATTACTCTTTACTGGACACTCTTTAAGCCTAAATAAGCTAACCATATACAGCTGATCAGAATGAAACACGAACAGCACAGCTAACAGAGTTGGCCTTGTTAGCAGAGCTGAGAATGTGAGAGAACATTCTATAATGTTTAGAATCAAACAAGCAACTGTTTTTTCATTAACAATTCCTTAGGAGATGTCTACAATGCTAATTAGACACAATGATAAATGTAACCAGCTGTTAAGTCACGAAAAACACACAGAAGACTCTTTAAATTACCAAATCCAATACATTTTCAATCTTAACATTGCTATAATTTACGGTTTTATAATACAAAACAGAACTTATTGAGTCAAAATAAGTATATGCTAATTTCTTTATGATGATTAAATATTTGTGTTTGTTTCCATTTGGATCTCCTCTCTACTTTTCTGATTTATTGTTATTCATCCATTTCACCCAGTTCTCAACACATCAATCTATTAATAGGTTTTTCTGTTTGATTTCTTAATATTCTTAGTCATTTTTCTGTCTGACTCTATTCCCAGATTAGAGTAATATTATACAAAATGTTTTCCAAATTTAATAAGAAGTAATTGACTAATTATTAGTGGCTATAATGGTTCAGTTTCATGCACTAAACCTTTCTCCCATGAGCGTATCTCAGGATGGCAATGAGCAAAATGCATTTCAAGGTAATTTCAGTAAATAAAAACCAGCATTCTAGGCTGGCCTCTAGCCTCAGTTAGGTGTTTGTGGAAAAATAACATTTTCTGTGTTTCTTGATTTAATCATCTGTAAAACAGGTTTAACTGAATGACTTCTATCTTCCTCAAACTCCAGCTGTTTGCCATATCAACTATTCGAAGGACCACTGGTCATGGGGTCCTTATGTTAAGTTCTGTGTTGCATTAGGGGTAAACAGATCCCTTCAGGATCTCACTGGTCATTAGGCTGTTTAGAGCACAAACAATACAGGAACACCATGGCACCCTAAGAAATTGTTGCTGCTTAAGAAATATCAGTATTCAGTATTTGCAGATGAGCAACTTAGATGTTGCCCATAATTATTATTATTTTGAAAATGTTTCTATATCCTTGGGTATCTTTGTGTCTTAGTCTCATGATTTTGCAGAAATGAACTGTGAATTTAATTTGAGGTACATAATTGTGGGATCCTTTGAATCTTCAACATAAAATTTTTCTGATTTGTTGTGATATTTAAAACTGAGAATTTCATTCTAGAGAACATAGAGATTAAAGATAAGTAAGATGTCTACTTATTTTTATCAAAGACAAATGACATGCATATTAAATAGTAAATGCTTTTATTTTCCAAGACTCATCCATTTCTACCTGATTTTTAAACTTAAAAAAAAATTCTTCAGAACTTTGTCACCAATAAAACTTCTATTGTTACTTCAGTGTCAAGGGGCATACACATTAGCCATTCATAATTTCACACTTGTCTTCTTTGTAACTAACTGGGAGAGAATTTAATCTTAAAACATTAGATTATTATTTATAGCAGTTATTTATACTCCTAATAGTGGTCCTTCTAGATCTTGTAAATTGGATTCGTTTTTTACTTGTGATTTTAAAATAAATTAAAATTATCACAAGATTTCAAGAAAAACAGAAAAGAGAGGAGAGTGGGAAGGTGGGAAAAGAACGTTATATTCTTAAACAATGTATCTGAAATACATGAAATCTCTTCCCTTTAAGGTGATTATAAATTTTAAAAACATAGAAGTAAAGAACACTCACTCTCAGATCTGACAATTTTGAATGTTGTAAAATGTGAGTCCTCGTACATGAAGATGCTGAGTGTAAGTTTGGCTATGCCCCATAGTAACCGCTACGTTACCTAAGGAATAATTTATACACCCAGAACACAGTTACTGCTGCAGTTGATTACAGAAATAGCGTTGTGAACTGATTTTTCTTAAGTGTCAGTAATGTTCATCAAGTGAGTAAAGGAAATAAATGAGGAGCAAATATTTTTGTTTCATTTTTGTGTGAGAAAAAATTAAGGAGTGTGAGCAGTCTTCCTAAACTTCCACACGTGACTGCTCAGTTTCCTCATGGAATCTTTGACATCTCTATTTCTCAGAGTGTAGATCACTGGATTCAAGAGAGGAGTGAATATGGTATAAAACACTGAGAGCACCTTGTCTATTGGGAAGTTTGTAAAAGGCCACACGTAGATGAAAATGCACGGGCCAAAGAAAAGGGTTACCACGGTGAAATGGGCACTGCAGGTGGAGAGGGCTTTGGAGGTCCCGCCGGAAGAGTGCTGCCTAACGGTGACCAGGATGACCGTGTAGGAGATGACCAAGAGCATGAAGCAGATCAGGGCTATCATGCCACTGGTTGAGATCATGAACACTCCCAGAATGTACGTGTCCACGCAGGCGAGTTTAATCACCAAAGGGAGGTCACAGAAGAAGCTGTCTACTTCATTGGGGCCACAGAAAGGCAGGTTCACAGTAAATGCCAATTGACTCAAAGCATGAAAAATGCCGACAACCCAGGACAGTATCACAAGCCCCACGCACATTCTGGGACTCAGGATGGCTAGGTAACGCAGAGGCTTACATATAGCCACGTACCTGTCGAAGGACATGGCAATCAGTAGTACAATCTCCGCCCCTCCGAGCAGGTGTAAGAAGAATATCTGGGTTATGCAGCCTTCGAAGGAGATGGCTTTACGCTCGCTGAGAAAGTCTGCGATCATTTTGGGGGTGGCAAAGGAGGCCAGGGACATATCGATGAAGGAGAGGTTGCCCAGCAGGAAATACATGGGGGAGTGAAGGCGAGGTTCGATCACCACGGTAAGCAAGATAAGGAGGTTCCCCAGCACAGTGACTGCATAGACTACGGAGAAAAACAAGAAGTAGAAGATCTGGAGGTCCGCAGAGCTAGACAGACCCAATAGAATGAACTCAGTCACGACGGATTCATTGCCGCGGGCCATTCAGTCTGATTTCTGCAGGAATTCCGGCATCTGTAGGTAGTAGAGAAACTAGGACAAAATACAACAAATCAAGCTGAAGATTTTTTTTTTCCCTAAATAAAAGTAATAGAGAGCAAAGGGACAGAAAAGATCTGCCAAGAGACAATACCTGCTTCAATTTTCTGTTGGTGATTGTTTGGAAGAACAACGAAATAGCTTCTGCTTCTCAGTTGCTCAATTTCAATAGCATTGTAGGTATAAAGATTTTCGCTTCATGTCCACAGTGCCATACAGCCTTCAAAGATAAAGAGTATGTTGTGGTTAGAGCCTGAAGGACTCTGACATCTCAATGTATATTTTGAGCAGAAAGAGAGCCATGATGTCTGCAGTCAGATTCATTCTGATGGAATTTATTGCCTTGCGCCACAACACTGTGAAATAGAAACTTCTTCCTGTTTCCAGAGTTTCCATGGCACAGTTATGAGACAGGCTTTCACAGAGACAAAATAAGGTGATACTAACCTGGAAGTACTTACTAATATAAGTTACAGCTGAATTGGTTAGAGACCTTTCTTACAAAGCACACTAAAAGCTGAATTTTAACCTCGCCACTAAGACACAGGTTCTGTCTTTTTTTTTTCCCCCAAAATTCTATCATAAGTAAAGGGTTTTAACAACTACCTATTGATGTCTTCATTCTGAAGTTAGTTTTCTTTCTTTTACACCACATTGTTCTCTGGTCTTTTATCCATTCCCGAATCTTTTGTCTTCTGTACACCTACCTGATATTACAATAGATGCCGGCCGCAAAGCTCTCAAAGTGTATACACCAGAAATAAACTTGGCCCTCACCTCAGAAAATGTCAGTTAAAATCTCATCCCAAATGCTTATCATCGGATAACTTACTTAGTCGCACAGTAGTTCTGTTTCTCCATATGTAAAAAAAGTAGGTTGATGTCCTTAAAAACGTTTTCACATAGTATTTTATACTAATCTGGCTTCTGAAGATGATCTCAGCTGGTATGGAGTAAAAATAAGCTGAATCTTCTGCAAGGAGAGCCAGTATCCTTATGACCTTTTTATTGATAACACTTACATTAAAATGATTTAATTCAGGGAATTACTAAGAAGGCATGGAAAAGACCAGTCACTGCTTGGGGAGTGAACAGATGTTCAAATTGCAGTGGGAATTATTAAAACATTCACGTTGGTTGGATGTTTTAAGATGACTTACAAAATTAGGAAAAAAATCTAAAATGCATGATTGCTCCTGTATGCTTTATACACATTGATGTGGGAAACGGAAGGTGTAAGAGGTGATATTTATCTTGGGTTACAGCAAAGATAAGAGAAATAGAATCTTTGCTTTGAGAGCCTATAAGTGTTTCTTCGCACTTTATTCATTAATAATTGAATATACAGTATACAGTTTTTCCCCTTATACATAGAAAAATTGATACAGCAGGTAATAGAATGGGTATTCAAGACTTTAAAATTTATAATGTTCATATGAATCAACATGGACTAAGGGAAAAAAGGAAGTGAGTGGAAAATTTTAAAAATCTGATTTATAAATTCTAACAGTGTAAAAATTAAATGATCATGTAATCTTTAATATCTTTAAAAATTAGAGTTACAACCAATTACAACATAATTTTCATGGGTTATTATGCTAATGTAATAGTAATACAAAGAGAACAGATTCCATGTAGCTCATAGAAACAATTCTAAGAATATTCCACTTCTCTTAACTTCACCTTCTCCATCTCTCTTCCTTCCACCCTTACTTTCTGATTTAATTTTTGAGATAACATCTTTAAATGCACATTATAGTCAAGCCTTGATGCTGACAAATAAAAAGCAGAAATAATAACAAGAGCTAAAAGCAATTATCAAATGAAAAGATGTCTTTCACTCATATACAGAAAATTTGAAAATAATCACAGATCATTGAGATTAGACAAGTTCTTACTTCTGCAGACTGCTATTCAACTTTCCAACAGCATTTGTTGTTTTTACCTGGATTGTTTTCAGTTTTCTTGTCAAAGATTAGTTGGCTATACATGTGTGGGCTCTCGTCTGGTGTTTCTGTTCTGTTCCATTGATCTTCTTTGTTCTTGTACCAGTACCAGACTGCTTTGATAACCACTGCTCTGTAGCATGTCTTGAAGTCTGGAATTATGATTTCCCCCAGCTTCATTTTTATTCATCAGGATAACTTGGGCTATTCGTGGTCTCTTATGTTTTCAAATGAACTTTTGCATCATCTTTTCTATTTATGAGAAGAATGTTGTTGGGATTTTGATTGGAATCATGGTGAATTCATATATTACTTTTGGTAAAATGGATATTTTTGATGATGTTGATCCTGCCAATCCAGGGGTATGGTTAGTTTCTCCATCTTTTAATGTCTTCTACTTAAAATAATGTTTTATAGTTTTCAGAGCTCTTCTGCATATTTGGTTAGATTAATTCTTAGGTACTTAAGACTTCTTTCCACTAATTTTTTAAAGATTTAGTTCAATTTTATTGCAAAGTCAGATATACAGAGAGGAGGAGAAACAGAGAGGGAGATTTTCCATCCGTGGATTCACTCCTCAAGTGGCAGCAACAACTGGAGCTTAACCAATCCAAACCCAGGAGCCTGGAGCCTCTTCTGGATCTCCCACATGGGTACAGGGTCCCAAGGCTTGGACTATCCTCGATTGCTTTCCCAGGACGCAAGCAGGGAGCTGGATGGGAAGTGGGACTGCTGGGATTAGAACCAGTGCCCATATGGGATCCTGACATGTTCAAGGCGAGGACTTCAGCTGCTAGGCTACTCTTTCCACTACTTTAAAGGGACCGTAATTACAATTTCTTTCTCAGACATGGAGATATTTGTCTATACCACCTCTAACCTTACCAAAAAAAATAGCAGCTCTAAATGGATCACAGACCTCAATTCGTACTCATAAACCATGAAAATATTAGGGGAAAACATAGGAAGTACTCTCCAAGATATTTGGTGTCTTGAAAAAGGCACCAAAAACACAGGCAGTGAAAGCAAAAATAGACAATTGGTATTATATCACACTTAAAGGATTCTGTACAGCAAGGAAAATGATCAACAAAGTAAAGAAGCAAGGAACAGAATGGGAGAAAATCTTTACACACTACATAACCAATCAGAGATTAATGTCCAACATTCAAAAAGAGCTTCAGAAACCCAGTGACAGCAAAACAAACAATTCTGTGAAGAAATGGGGGGGGGGGGAGGGAAGAAAAGAAAAGAAAAGACATTTCAAAAGAACAAATTCAAATGACTAAAAGATTGTACCCCTGACAAAAGATGCTCAGGCTCCCTGGCAGTTAAGGAGATGCAAATCAAAATCACATCAACATTCCACCTAACTCGGGTGAGGTTGGCCTACATCCAGAAATCCACTAACAACACCTGCTGGAGTGCACGTGAGGGGAAAGGTGCCGTCCTTCATTGTTGGTGGGAGTGTTGGCGTGTACAACCACTATGGAAATCAGTATGGAGAATCTATGGGAACTGAAAATTGACCTGCCAGATGATCTAGCTATGCTGCTCCTGGGACTGTGTCTGAAGGAAGAGAAATCTGCGTATGAGACAATGGCCTCTACTCCTATATTTACAGCACCACGTGCATATATATACACACACACAGATATTGTCCAACTGATGCATCACTCCTCAAATGTCCATAGTGGCAGGGTTTATGCTAGGCCCAAAGCCAGGATCCCAGAGCTTTTTTCCAGGTTTCCCTCATTGGAGCAGGGACCCAATCACTTAGGCCATCTTTTACTGCTTTCCAGGGACACTATCAGGAAGCTGGATCAGAGGTGTAGCAGTCAGATCTCAAACTGATCCTCATTTGTGATGCAGGTGCCACTAGTAGCTGCTTAATCCAGAATACAACACTGGCCAATCCAATGGCTGTTTTGCATCTGAAAAAAATTGATCATATTGTGTTTGACCTTCATTTTGTTAATGCTGTGTATTATACTTACTGATTTGTGTATGTGAACTATCTTTGTACCCCTGCAATTAATTTCACTTGATCATGGTGAATAACTTTTTAAATGTGCTTTTGATTTTATCTACTGGCATTTTTTTTTTTTTTTGAGAATTTTACCGTCTTTGTTCATCAAGGATTTGATCTCTAGCTTGCTTTCTTTTGTTGTGTTAAATTTGTATTCTATCCATCTGCCACTGAATCCCAAAGCAGGTTTGCAATTTTTTGGCCGCTTCCCAAGGATATGGGAGTGATTATCCACTTATAAGGCTTGTGTAGCCCTGGGAGTGCACACCAGGAGCACATGATATTGATGGTGAAACATTATAAAACGTGTGTGTCCTACCAGAGTGCAAGTCTCCGTCTAATACTGAGGTTGGTCCACAAGCATGTACCTAGGGAATAGACTTGCCCATTGTTAGACTTTTCTAGCTCAGCAGTGACTCTCAGGATACTGTTCTATTGTTCATTCATGTCTGCTCAAGGCTAGAAGTCGATAATAAAATGGTCTCTTTTCCACTCAGACTAGTACTAGACTAAATCATACCTGAGCGTCATAGACTTTAGGACTCCATGTACCCCAGTTTGTCTAAGGCCTGTGCTGACACACAAAAATCAGTCTTCCCTACCAGAACGCGTGTTAGGACAAGTCCAGAAGTTCTATCTGTAAACAGTAACCAGGGGTATGTGCCTGTCTTTATCAAATGCCAGCATGTCATGGTGATAGACAGGTTCTGAACTGTAATGCCAGGTATAAGTGGTGGGAGGGGAAAGCTGGCTATTCAGAGTCCAAACACTCAGTCTGCAAGTATGGGTCAGTGAGCAGGGACCATTGGGATCTGCCCAGCTTTGACATTTCATTGTAGTGGGCATACTACTGAAATCCAAATCACTCTCACTCCTCCAAATGGAACATGATTTTCTATGCTGAGTTGCTTACCTGAGAGAGGTGTTAGGCCACTCTTTAAATCCTATCTGTTTTTCTATGTAATTTTTTTGTTTTGTTATTATGCTAAAAAGGGAGTCTCTGGTCTCTTGCCTGGCTTGTATCATTCTTATGAAGGCTACCCTGTACATGATTAGATTTTCAAATTGGTATGTCTTTGGCATGAGTGGTTGTCAGAGTCACTTGCTCAACTAACATTTTGCTTTCTGCAGCTATCTTTTTGATACACTGATTTTTATATCTTTTGGATATGCTTGTATATCTGAGCCTTTTAATTGATTTTATTCATTCAGTCAGTCTAAATATTTTAATTGAAGAATTTAATCCTCTTACATCCCAAGTTTTTATTGGTTGGTAAGGTTTTGATCTTGTCACTTTACTAAAATGCTCTGAATATTTTCCATAATATTTATTTATTGGTTTTGTTGTTTATCTTCGAGGTTTTGAGGTTTCCTAGCCAAAAAAAATTGCTTATATTTTCTCATTTTTGTGTTTATGTTCTATTGACTTCTATATTTTCATGCATTTTTCTAAAGATTTATTTTATTTTATTTTTTATTGGAAAGGCAGATATAAAAAGCAAAGAAGATACAGAGAGAAAGATCTTCCATCTACTGGTTCACTCCCCAAATGGCTGCAGTGGCCAGAGCTGAGCTGATCTGAAGCCAGGAACCACAAGCCTCTTCCAGGTCTCCCATGTGACTGTAGGGCCTTCTGCTTATTCTTCCCTCACAACAGGACTGGATTCTTGGTTCAGAGTTGATCTTGATGGGAGATTGGAATACAATGGCATCATCATTTTTCCAATTCACTCAACACCACTGCAGTTAAAGTTGTATTGCTTTGTGTATATATATATATATACTCCTACATGCTGAAACTGTAGTATTCAATCTAAATCAAAAGTTTATGGCATGTATCCCACAAGAATACTTTCATGATTGACTTCCCACATTGTAACTTTCCCTCTATTTAATGTTCAGTTCACACGGGATCTCTGAGAGTTGACTGAACACATATTCTTGCTCATTGACTCTTTCCAATTGTTTTATTTATCAGTGTTCAGTATTTCCCAAGAACTCTGACTCACTGGAAGCAGAGGTGCATGTGTTTCAATTTCATTTTCAGTTGCTTCTAGTGGAGTTAGATAATCATGAGTAGTTATTTAAATTACTTCTAATATTATTTCCTATTATCTTATGAAACAATGACTTTTCCAACTTCCATTTCCTGAATCTTTCAGGTCCAAGTGAAAATAGTAATTATAAATTCCCAAAAGGTTCTTGAAATACCTTCTCCTTGTGAACTCAATAATATTATCTTTGTTATCTAATAAATCCCATTGCAAGATGATTTCTTGGTCAATTCCCTAGACCATTTGGCATCCATTTTATCTATACCTGTTAGACAGCTAATGGTTTGAACAGGTCATTTATTTATGTTTGAAATTATCCTCTACATTCTTTCTTAGAGGTCTCTTAACACTGAGTAACATAAAGGCATGATTCTACTGTAGCTCTAATAAGGAGAGGTGTTTTACAAATGAATTCTACGGAAACGCTTTAAATACTTGCCCTTCTCACTTTCTTCTGCTAAGCTTTATTCCAGAGAACTTAGTTAATAAAATAATGTGCACTGGCAGATCTGAAGAGAGAATTCTAACAGGGATTGGATGGATGAATCGATCTTGGGCTCTCCTATAAATGTGATATTATCCTTTAGGAGAAAAAGGTAACTTTTTAAAAAGATTCTTTTTTTTTTTTTCACTTGAAAGGCAGAGATAGAGACAATGTTTCTTTTGCTGTTTCACCTCTTAAACAACCACAATGGCCAGGGTTGATCTGATCTGAGCCTACCAACCAGGGGCTTCTTTCTATTCTCTAGAATGAATGCAGTGACCCAAACACTTAGGTCATCCTTACTGCTTTCCCAGGCCATTGGCAGGGAGCTGGATGAGAACTAGCGCAGCCTGAACTGGAGCCGGCTCTCATATGGGATACCAGTACCACAAGTGGAGGCTTAACCTGTCACATACACCACGGTGCTAGCACTCTGGTGACACTTTAAATTGAGGAATTAGAAATATTTGTAGGAGAAACTGGCTCATATTTTAAAGGAAAGCAAATTGCTGTCAAAAGCATGAAATGCCTTTCATTAGCCTGGATCTCCACAATAATACCTTAGTTTTTCACTGAATGAATAGCAATAAAAGTAATTTTCTGACTTGTCTTTTGGGTTTTAACTGGGAAAAGTAAATCTTTGAATATGCTAGTAGCTCTCTGGGAATTTACAAGAGTTCAATCATTTTTGAAGATTTACAATAAAGCTGCTCAAGAACCCTTGTAGGTGATACAATTTTATGTTTCTCCATGAAGAATAGCTTTATGTGTAGATTTAAAAGACTAAACAGGTATGTTTATAGATAAATGTGTGGGGAACATATTGTTAACAAAAAAGTACTTACTAAGTATCAGCTATTATTCAATGATGACGTAGACAAAACTATACGCAAACATACACTTTTATCTGCTTACAATGACCTTATTTTGCTGTGATTGCCATTTATTGCCAGAACGTGTTATTTTCAATATCGTGCTTTATTATTATTGTTCTAAAATCAGTAATATTCTATAATTTCCTTTGCAGCTGATAAGCTAAATGAGAATAAAAATAGAGGTAAGGACAATTCTGCACATAGTAAAAGTGTCTGCAGAACTAGATTTTCAGAATTGGAGATTGTGTTTCCACTGAATCATGCTCTTTTTTTTGCTTTTAAATACAGAATTCTACCTGTGAAGCAGACAATGGATATTGCTAACAAGTCTACTGTTTCTGAATTTATTTTGCTGGGACTCTCTGATTCTTGGGAACTACAGATGTTTTTCTTTACAGTGTTTTCATTGTTTTATGTGGCAACAATGGTGGGGAACAGCCTGATAGTCATCACAGTTCTATGTGACGCCCACCTGCACGGTCCAATGTATTTCCTGCTTACAAACCTCTCCATCATTGATATGTCTCTTGCTTCGTTTGCTACCCCCAAGATGATTACAGATTACTTAATGGGCCATAAAACCATCTCTTTCGATGGCTGCATCACTCAGATATTTTTCCTGCACCTTTTCACTGGTACTGAGATTGTTTTACTTATGGCTATGTCCTTTGATAGGTATATTGCGATATGTAAGCCCCTGCGCTATGCTTCAATAATCAGTCCTCGGGTGTGTGTTGCTTTCGTGGTAGCTTCCTGGAGTGTAGGGATCATGCATTCCATGAGCCAGGTCATATTTGCGCTCACATTGCCCTTCTGTGGTCCCAATAAAGTGGATAGTTTTTTCTGTGACCTTCCTGTGGTGTTTCAGCTGGCTTGTGTGGACACTTACGTTCTAGGTCTCTTTATGATCTCAACAAGTGGCATAATTGCTTTGTTCTGCTTTATTCTTTTATTTAATTCTTACGTTATTGTCCTGGCTACCATAAAGCACCATTCTTCCCGAGCATCCTCCAAGGCCCTTGCTACCTGTACAGCTCACTTCATTGTTGTCTTCATGTTCTTTGGGCCCTGCATCTTTATCTACATGTGGCCACAAAGCAGCTTTCTGGTGGACAAGACCCTGTCTGTATTTTATACTATTTTTACTCCTATTCTGAACCCAGTGATTTATACACTGAGGAATCAAGAAGTCAAAACAGCCATAAGGAAGCTGAAGGATAGGTTTCTAAATTCGCACAAGACAACTCATTCATATTACTTTTAACTTATGGGTAATTCTAGCTTTAACTTTTGAGGCTTACATGCCATTGATTTTTTTTGATAAAAAAACATTGATTACAATTTTAAGTTAGGTTAGTATTTAATGAGTTGTTACCAAATTGCAATTGCCAGAAATTTCTGAGGCGGCTGCAAGGTCAGTGCATTTTGAAATTAATCTCATGTGTTTGTTCAAAAGTCATTTGAAACATCAGAAAAACCAGGTTAGTCAAAATGATATCTGGCAGAAACAAAAACTATAAAAAGATCACAAGTGATTAGTTAAGAATTTAAAGCAGTAGTAATCAGTTCACTGACAATGGGGAGCAAAAGCTGAGAAGAGTAAATGGCAATCAAAGGGGAACTAAAAAGTAACTACCTACAGTTAACAACCAAGTTACTCAGTTTTTGCTCCAAAGTGTTACAAATTAGCAGTATTGCTATAATCCACACTGAATTCTGTACACAACATTATACTCAGATAAAATGTGATAATTTTCTGCTTATGTCCCTAAGCCACTCTTTCTTCACATGCAAAGTTTTAGATTTGTAATCTCTTCTATTAAAGGAAGTTATTTATGTATTTCATGGCAAACATTTACCAGATACAAAGCAAATGATGTAATATGTGAGACTCCGCCAACCACATTTAACTAATAAACCAAGAGGTTACGCTACAATTTCTCCTGATAATATTGAGCAAATAGAGAGGTTGAAGAATTCTGCAAATCAGAAAACTTTATGATATGATTGACAGCACAGAGATTTTTAATTTAAAATAGACATTATGATAGCTTAATGCCCAAGATGTTAAAATTAGAATTAAATCCAGATAAGAGTTATGATAATTTATGGGGAACTTATGTTGTCCTTTTAAAGTGTTACAATACTTAACATTTTACTTATTATGTGTTACCTTAAATATTGGATTCATATTAGTAATTAGCTTAATAATATATTAATGTAATTATAAAAGTTTTTGCATATGCATAGGCTTTTTATTATTTTCGATTCAGAACTCTAATTTAAATGTTGGCTGATAGGTATGCAAAATGTCACAAGCATTTTGGTAGTCGCTGGAATTGCAAGTATTCTAAGTCATGAGAAATACATAATTCCCATGCATATCTGCTTTAAAATCTTGTTTAATTAGTAGAAAACATTAAAAATTAAGCTTAGAATTTGTTAAATGATATTTATGAAATGTATGGGCCAGACTTATTACCCAACTTATATCAATAAAAGGAAAGATGAATTGGAAGCATAGTATTTGATAAAGTTGTTATTTTCTGAAGTGATTAAGGACATGATCAAAATAAATAATTATATGCATAAATTAATCACTGCCTATGAAAGATGAATTAAGAAGAGGAAATGATTAGCTTTTAATTATAACTCAGACTACAATGGTAATGGGATATTTCCTCATTAGCATATTTTCTTCTTTAATTAATGTATTGAGCAAATACATTTTGTTCACAAAAATAAGAAACAAATGTACAATTTAAGAATGAGTAATATGTTTAAAGCTTGGGCAGTTTTGAAATCATTACATCAAAGTGTCTATAGTATTAAAATAAAATATGTCAACAAAATAATAACATAATTTTATTTAAATCATGGGATCAGGTGGATCTATTTAGTTTTGTTTGACCTTATCTTTGTTGTGTTTTTTTTGTGCAAATGCATTCAGAAGCACAGACCTCATTTTTATCAGTATTTTAGTTGATTTTTTAATGAAATATATTATTTGTTCAGGGAATATTTTAAGAGATGAACTTCTTACAGTATAAACTTGTATGTAGTCTTTTAAAGGGAGTACCATGAATCATGAGCACTTTTGTGGAAAATTCTAAAGCTCAAAAACATTTGCCAAGACACCCTCCTAGATGTAAATTACCAGCAGAATACAGTAAGATTGGGTGGTGAAATTAATGGTAGCTGAGAGTGAGAAGCACCAGGGACAGCCTCCAGAGTACTTCCTCATTAAAGGAAGCTCTCTACCACCTTGCCTGGCAGCTGGGCAGTCAACATCCAAGATGCCTGCATTTAAAACCCTAGTTAAGACTCATACGGATAGCTTCATCACTAAGATGATGACCAAGCGCAAATTCAGATGCAAGATCACCAACTCTTAGGTTGGAAGGTTACTTTTGCCATCTGCATTTCACAAGGCATGTTACATGTACAGAAACCATATAGGTATGCATATATACACAACAATTGAACATGTTTTAAAACGCCCTGCCCTGCTTCCATTAATACAACCAACTGAAGGAATGTATAATATGAGGCATTTGCAAGAAGATCGTGTTCACAAATAACTCTATCTTCTTATAGGAATATAAAGATCCATGTAGCTTGGTGATACCAAGTATGAAATTTTAAAAACCGTGAGAAGCTGATTGTAAAGAGTCTTGCAAAAGTAAACAGGAAATTTGAGTGCAGTTGAAAAATTGAAAGTTCAGGCAAAATGAAAATGAATAAAATATAAATTAAATAAAGGTATTGCATACGTAGCAAAATGTCCATACAATTACAAATTATGCTTGTTTACTTTTAAAATATTTGAGGAGAATTATAGACTACTACAGTGTAGAAGGATCATGGATTTACCATGAAGCTAGTGAGCTTGCGTTTTAGATTCCCTTCCCCTGCATGCCTTTTGTCATAGTCCTGAGTGAGTACTAATCGTTATTTACTGAGACTTTTTCCTTTCTCTTAAGGAGGTGCCTTCAGATTGTAATGCTTGGTTTCTGCAGAATCTGGATTCACATTGACTGTATGAGTAACACTGATTCTGGTATTTTTTCTTTTAATAGTGTTTAAGTCTGCTTCTGGTGTTATTGGTATAAACCTGAGATATTTCATATCTCTATCACAGTTTCAACATCCGTAAAAGAAAACAGAAGGGACACATGTTATAGAGTTGTTTGAAGAATAATGGAAGTATATAGTGTGTTCAGTGACTAGTCATTTTCTAAGTGCCCAACTTTGATGTCCTTTCTTTGACACTAGATATTCTCTTAAACTAATAATTATTTGTTTAGCAAATCCAAATATTCATCTAGACACATGTATGCAAAAAAAGTAATTCATATCAAGATCAATTTGGAAAATTAAAAATGACTTCAAGAAAACCATGTTGATTCTTATGTTAGGGCAAGCTTATGGAAAATTGGTTCATAACTGTAAACCAAGGACATGTTAATTTGTTAGTTCATCATCATGGTAATGTCTCTTATAATGAGGAATTATTCAATTGATTTATTGATTTTTAAGATGAATTTTTCACTATATTTTTTGTAAAGAGTAGTGATGCTTAATTCTTATATTGTCAAGGTGAAGACATAAGTGAGTAGGCTAGTAAAAATAATAGTTTTGTGTTGCCTAAATGTCTTACGTGAACTATGTAATGTGAACTAAACTGGGGATAAAGTGATTATTGAATCTGCAGACTGATAATTCTTAGTAAGATGTTACATATGAGCATATCCGTACCCTTTATAGAAATGCTTTCAAAGCCACTAACAGATACCAGGGAGATTTTGTTTTTTAAATTATCTCTTACACAAAATAGAGCAAAATTGGCAAGAAAACTGAAATGATGCTCTTCTTTGCTTGTTTCTTCCCTTATATTATTTTCATGCTGAAATTTGCATTTATGTATCCAGAGATGAGAACATAAAGAAGAAAGAGCCATGGGAATCTAATTCACATTTGTCCTCTCAGACATTTGCAAAATCCACTAACCAGTTTGATACTTTCAGTTTCTCAGGTTGTTGAGCTGATTAAATTTATGATGAACACAATATCTTTTGATGGAAATTATTTTTAATGCTCTTGTTTATCCTTGTTAGGTGAATACATACAAATTATGTTGTATTTTGAACAAATGCCCAAATAACACTGAACATAGAACTTGGGTTTTATGCTGATGTATTATGTATATTTGTACTTCTGCTGGTATTCTTCAATGAACGTTTCATCCTTTCTCTCTGATACTTTGTAAAAATAAACAAGTTCCAAATCTTGGTATGTATAAAAACATCATTTATACATTTTTACTACAAATTTACACTACAAATATTAAAGGAAAACATAGAAAGCGCTCTCCAAAATATAGGCATTGATAAAGACACCCAAAGTACAGGCAATAAAGCCAAAATAAACAAATGGGATTACATTAAACTAAGAAGCTTCTGTGCAACAAAGGTCATGATCAATAAAGTGAAGAAGCAACCAACAGAATAGGACAAAATCTTTGCATACTACACAACCAATAGGGGTCTAATATCCAGGATTTAGAAAGAACTTCAGAAATTCAACACTAGCATATCAACCAATGCTGTGAAAAAAAATGTGTTTTCCCTGTGAGGAAATGAGACATTTTTCAAAAGAACAAACTCAAATGGTGAATAGTATTACAATCTAGTATAGCAAAGACATGGAAACCACCTTGATGCCCATTGAAAGAAGATTGGATGAGAAAATTGTGGTATATCTACTCTATGGAATACTACTCAGCCATCAAAAAGAATGAAATCCTACTATTTACAACAAATTTCTCCCAACTAGAGACCATTATGCGTAGTGAAATAAGCTAATCATAAAAGGAAAATATCATATGTTCTCTCTGATATAGGACAGCCTTCGTGAAAATACAAGATCAGCAGATACGTAGGTAAACATGCATGTATTTATACTCGTCCAGAGGAACAGTAGAGTCTATCATATCAACATGTGAGGAAACAATGTAGTATGCGTTTCTGGTTCCAAATCAAAGATGGACTCCCAATGAAACTGTTAAGTATATCATGACAATCGGATGCTGGACTCTGCCATTGCCCATACTTACAATGTCAGGATATACTTAAGTAGCAGAGTGACAGACTTATCACTGTTTTTGAAGGACTATATTATTATAATAACACAAGGGGAATTAGTGAGGGGAGATACATGGGGTATAGGGAGGGGAAATTCCAGAGCCTATGGAACTGTATCATA